CTTTAGAGAATCCGAATGCACTTTCACTATCTGACGTGTTTATGATGCGCCAGCGGACGTCATTGTGTGCGTCTGCTGCTGTGGGGAAACTATGGAAACTACAGTGTTCCAGCGCCATATAGATACTATATGGCGCTGCAGTGTTCTATACAACGGACTACAACATGGATGTTTAATAAGAACGAGGGACTACTGTAAACTCATCTAGAGACTCTGCACCGTGCTCTGATTCTGTTGTTTTATGCTTTATGAATGTGGACAACAGAGAAACATAGTCTTCAAAAACTAATGTTCATATTTCTCTTTTTGATTATAATACTGATGAACGTTCAAAACAAAGCACTTTGGAAACTTACCACATACGTTTTAAAAAGCTTAATAAGCACCGTAACTTTCATGATATAACTTCTCCGTCATAATCGTTTGTTTCCGTGAACCGCCGACTGTTGTGTGACGGCAAATGCTGCGGCTGCAAGGCATTGTGGGGCAGCATTTTCTCCTCTCCTTTCGGTTAGGGAGGTCCAGTGGTTCCTAAGCTAAAGGAGGTTATAAAGGAAGTTTGAAACCTCCTTTCCTTTCATTTAGAGAATTGGAACGGCACTTAACATGGCTGCCACTGACGTACTTCCGGGTCATTTCACTTGGTTAGGAAGGTTCCTAAACTAAATGGACTATTGGAACGCAACCTAAGCTGTCCAACTTCAGGCGAGCTTTTTGAGACCTCCCCCGGTTGCGATTGGCTATTCTCGTCTACTTTCGAGGCGATCCGCAACTCGTCTCAAACAAGCCTATTACACAGCTGCACAACAGCTCTATCCTGTGACAGCACATGGTATCACATCTACTGTCAGTGCATATTAAAGGACACCTATCATGCAGACATAATGTGAAAATAAAAAAAGGGGAGAAGCTAAACAAACATAAAATAAAATAATACCAAACTATACAAAATACATATTGACAGTGATATATATATATATATATATATATATATATGAATTTTAAATAAGACTAAGTTAGCTACGTTAGCTAGTTAGCTTAGAGCAAATCTGCATGTCTTAAGTTGGCGAGAGGTTTCTTCATTTGCATGTGTTTGCACATTTGTGTTTTTATGTTCACATCATTTTTGGAAACTGCAGCTTGCTTCCCCTATATGGAAATGTGTTGGGTCGGTGTAACGCGTTTGCACCTGTCGGCCACCGTAGTATCCCATAATAATAATTTAAAAAAAAACCTATTCTGTTTGCGAGAGATAAAGAAGCATCTGCGTCGTCAGGGACGGGCGGGGGTCTCATTTCTCTGCTTCTTCCCCTCCTGCTGACAGAGGGTCACAAAGCTTCTGGTATACTGTCGAGAATGGCTGCTGGGCTGAAAACCACTTGCATTAGGGTATTAGAGAATTTTAAGTTAATGTGTAAATATATACAGTATATATATATATATTAAAATGAATTTTAAATAAGAAGAAATGACCAAACCATTCATTTATATTGATGTATGGAGAATCGTGTACATTTGTTTTGTATATAGATATATAAAAAAAAAGATTTATATTCATGGTGTTGCAGTCAGTAATTTGAAGCTTTTAACTCTGCAAAGTCAAAACCCATGTATTCAGAATTTGTGTTCGTCACAGTCCGGAGGGTCATTTCTGACGGCAGCAGTGGGCTCTTTGTCGCTTCTCCAAATGGTGAACAGTCCCCGAAGTGAGAAAAGGACAGCGATGAGTGAGAAGTAGCTGGCGTATATGGTGAACTGCAACAAGAAACAGACCATCACTTCATCTGCAGAAGACCTGAGTGACATTTCCTGATCTGCCTCCTCACCTGAGGAATGATGCCCAGGCCCAGCCCTCTGCTGTCCACCACCACAGAGGTGATGATGGTCTGCAGAGCCAACGCTCCAAAGTTATTCGCTCCAAACACCAGAGCATACCTCTCCATCGTCAGGTCGGCTGCAATCTGGTACCTAAAAGAGAAGGACTGTTTACTTAAATGCACGATTTCCTGTTCTGCCTGCAATAATAAACACGTCTCTCTTTTGATAAGACACCTCTTACATGGCTATTGTTATCAGCAGCATGTACAGGCACTTGAATACAATGTATCCGGCGTAGCAGACCCAGATGTTTCTGATGAAGGTCATGAGGAAGAGTGCTGCTGCTCCGAGTCCAGAGAAACCCCCGAGAGCCAGCTCCCCCCACTGATCCCACCTCACCTCCGTGAAGCCGATACCGTACGCTGTGGCTGCTCCTGCAAAACACACCCATCTGGTTTTATAGTAGAGNTTCGGATAGTTTAAAAATCAGCTCCTAAGTTCTAACCCTATCTTCTATTCCTTTCTCATATCCACTATCCCTTAACCCCGTGACGTTTCACTCAGAGGTCAAGGAATAGAAGATAGGGTTAGAACTTAGGAGCTGATTTTTAAACTATCCGAACGCAACCCTGCTGCCCTACATGACCGGACTCAATGCTGTGTGTGCCCGTCAGGAAACACGCTGTTTACAAACAGTTCCTGCAAACATTCACTGATCAATTGTGATGTTAACAACCTCATGATAACCTCATATTTTTTTAACTTAGGATCATACATGTGTTTAGTCATACATATGCATTTTTATTATAAAGTTGTGTATATTTACAGTCTGTTGCAAAAACTAAGAAACTTATAAACATCAGGTTTAAAACTAGAAGAACTTTAGAAAAAAGATGTTTGGAGTTTTATTTCAGTCATTAATTAAATTTTTTCCAAGAGATGCTGATTTGAAACCGTTGTTCCATACACTTACGGTAATTCCTGTTTCTGCCGGAGAGAGGGGAGTTTATCCCGAAGCTTGCCGCTGTATTTACTCCCTCCAACTGACAGGAGGGAGCCTCGTTGAGCTGCGAGTGTCACTCCGCCACGGAGTGGGTAGGGTGTGATTTGGAATTGGGCCTTTGTTTGAAGTATACTGACGAAATTACTCAGTAATACATGTTGATCCCAAAGATAAAGAACACATTTCCTTGCTCATATTGTTTTCTTCTGATTTTGATGAACAATTATTTTTGTTTTGAGCAGACACCCTGCCAGTGTCCATACCTACGGGACCAGAATTTAATTGAGCCTTGTAGGTCCTACTGTGAACCTTCTTCTCATTTGCAGCTGTCTCTGATGCAGCACAGCTAATTTTGGACTCATATACATGGGTTTATTTCTCCATCAAAACCTTGCGACTATATTTGTCATATATATTAGTTTGTGCAGCTTTTCATCAATGCCACATAGCAAAATCCCCAAATCTGACATTACCATGTCATGGCATACTGCTGTAATCTTTAGCCCCAGTTTCTCAGACTTTGAAATCCCCCCAAACACATAGTAAACCCAAATCTGCCCACTGCAGCTTGGCCCTCTCCGCCGTAAGAAAGGGCGATTGGAGGGCCAGCAGCAGCCGGCCGCACCGACCAGTCATCTGTGGGAGCCTTGGCAGGAGTATAGATAGAAGCGGCTCCCTATTAGCATGTGTTAATGAGAAGAGCAGATTAAGTCCTGTCTGGGACGGCTGATAATATACAGAGGAGTGAGTCACAAAGTGAAGATCAATATGTCGAGTAAACAATCAGCCAGGCAGGCAACAATCGAAAAGGCGGAGCGTCTGAGGGCTGCTGTGGCTGTGCATGCTGAGCAACAGCGATGTATGCCCCCTCAGCTCCTGGTATTGTTTCTTGAAACCCTGTCAGCGGGGAGTGATGTGGCGTCTTTCCTCATAGTGCATTCTCAGCCTCATCGTTCTGGAAATTAACTAATGCGACTTTGTTCTGTCAACCAGCATGATCAGTTGTTATTCCAGCTTATAAATGGTGATAATTACAAACTTTCTCAGGGTCAAAACACATCCCAAACAAGATTAAAACATGAAAAAATTACAGTCATGGATAATTAGAGAACCTAATGCAATGTCCAATGGCAAAAATCTGCGTCTACTCCAGACTGAAAGGTCAATAGGCCTACGTTGTTATTTATGGCTGTTTTTATTGTATCTGCTTGGCTTTATCAGGCTGAACAGTTGATACTGTTAGAAGAAGGGTTGGCTGTTGGCAGGTTCCGTAATTTGCCTTTACATATTTTGTTGAGTCACAAGTCATATTTTCAAAACAGATCAGACAGGCCTAAACTAAAAGTCAGTAGTGTAGTGCCGGTAAGAAGGAGTCGGAGGCGGAGTATTTAAAAGGGATTTCCACTCTTTATTTTCCATCAAGCAATAGTAGTATCAGACATGTACTCAGTGAGGAGAGTCAAGTTAGAGTGCGTTGCTAGCTCTAGCTTGGCAACCTATATCTCCGGTGTTACCCTAAACCAGGTCCGTGTAGGAACTGTGACCCAGAAGTGAACTATGGTTAACTAGAGTCACCACAGTAGCCTAACCAAAATGCCAAATATCAAAATATTTCCATCAAACAATATGTTAAATTGAATATGTTGATTGTATCAAACACATTGTACGAGTAAATAAAAAAACAACTTTCAATATACACCAGGTCAACCTTAATTTGAACAATAGCCTATGCCTGTGCCGTTTGTTGTTACGCTAGCATTATGTTATCTACGTAAGCATTACGTTAATTTACAGTAATTATGTAAGTCATTTCCATCAGCTGCATAGTTGTTTTCCTTTTGTAATAGTTGGAGATTCGTCATATCTTTTTTGAATAACATTTGAAAAATGTGGAAACTCAATAAAATCATGTAAACAGAAGATGTTTGCTGTGGCTAGCTAAGCTAGCTAATACTAGGTTGCAGCTTCTAGCCTAGCTACCTAGCAGACCAATCTGTTGCAGGTCTATGCTACCACAATGTGTAGTTACAGTTCATTTTTCTGGGGAGGTGCATGTCAGGCTATGGACGGTGTAGAAGATTAAACTCAGAAGTCTACTCAAGGGTATGTCAGCATGAAGGAATCTTGCTAGGCTGAATTAAAAACCTACATTGTTTTTTGTGTTAACATATTTTTAGATTGAGAATGCAGTGATCTCATTGTCAGAGTTGCTAGATTCCTATAACTGCTAAATGTATAGGTGGATAGGGTTTGCTTAAAATTCCATAAATGTAGGATAACTGTTTGGAAGTCTACCATAAAGTTTATCAAGAGACCTATTATGCCTTTTGGGGTTTCCCTTTCCTGTAGTGTGTTATGGGTTTGGATGCATGTACATGGTTTAGACATCACTATGTAACACTCAGGCTTCTATTGGCAAGCACTCCAACAGTGTACATAATAGGCTAAGGGGTGGGACATCTTTAAGCGGTTGACCAATCACAACAGAGCCGGCCAGCGAACCAATCAGAGCAGACTGGACTCTGCTTTAAGACAGAGGGTGAAAATAGGTGCTGCAGCACAGGCAGTATGACAAAAATAAAGCACTTTTTCCACATTGAAACATGTCACAGAAAAGGCAAAAAATACAAATATGAACTCTGAAAATGGGCATAATAGGGCCCCTTTAAGATGTTGTTGTTTTTGCTATTTAACATATGGCAGCCTCCACAGGCTGATTCCAGACTTTTGACATTTTTAAATCATCATAGACATTGTTTTAGGTGAAGTAAATGGAAGTTTACTTTAATCAAAGCTCCCAGCTTTACTACTTACTATAGATATCTAGCTCTCTGAGAGGCTGGATCTATGGCTTCAACCGATGCTGTCAGAGGTTATTTTTGCCTTCGGAGCAGCTCTGCCTCAGAAAAATATTTGTATAACTAAAACTCCAATCTGTGTCTATGCTGCACTGTGCTGTTTAACTGCCTTGATGATTTGGGGTGGATGTAAACCTCTGGGGCCACAGACAGGCTTGGGCCTCATGTCAGGGTGTCAGGTGACACCCTGAACCTTATCTTGTTGCATCGTTGGTCATATCTAATAATTTAGATGTTTTCACAGTGGCAATTTATCAGCTGTATAATAAGCGAGGGGACAGATGCACATTGCTCTGCACGACCTGCTCAGCATGCCATCACAAACATAATATTTTGAGAGGTGAAAGGGTCAACTGCATTTGTTGAACAAACAGTGACAGAATTATGGACAGATAGATAGAGAGAGAGTAGAGAGAGGAGCGAGAGAGAGAGAAAAATGCACCCACTTCATTGTTGAATTTGTGTTTTATATGTTTCCTTTGCATCTATGATGTATTTCTGAAAACCTATTTTATTTGTGATCGGGAAGTGTACCCATTGCCTAACAGTTCATTGAAATCCCAGTTTCTTAAATTAGTTATATCTGGTGTATTCTTTGTTTACCATTGACATTTTAGATTTTAAGTGGCATATCTCAATGCATATTTGATGGATTGGATGAATCCATACTGACTTTGACTGTAGGGCTAGCAGCAGATTAAATGTTCCACTTATCTAGGGAAATACCCAAACATCTACATGATGGATTGGAAGACCACATTGCAGACATTGCAGACATTGGTGGTTCCAAAACAATGCAACCTAATGAAAATGTAATCTCCCATTGAATGTTATTCTATTTCTACAAGCAGCTTGATTTTTCTTCTTCTCCCCCCTATAGAATGAATAAAATAATTGGATTGGACCATTGAATTTTGCACCACACATTGTTTTGTTTGGTTTTCGTTGACCATATTTTTGAGGGAAAAGGGAAACCTCACCAGTTATTCTGCGTAACCAGCAATCACTAAGTAGCTGTTGTGATGCTAACTTTGCTATTTACTTAGTCTCTTGGAGGAAAAAACAACAGCGAATGCCTCAAAGTACAACAAGCTAAGCTCAAAAACCGGCTATGTTGAGCGCATACAGCAATTCCTAGTTAGTGCTAATATATCAAATACATATTAAATCACTTTATTTTTCACATGAAATCCTAATATTAAAATGTAAAACTAGTGAAGTTCAATCCTTTCAGCTGGTTACATTTAATTCAAAACCATAACCCTTATCTTTTTTTCTTGCAAGAGCCTTATGATCTTTGGAATCATAATAAGAAGTTATAAAAACAGCACTGTGGTTGAATTGAGCTGTCCGGTTTTCCAAGGCCGGATTAACCATATGGACATATTTTTTATTTTTTTCCCCGGGCACAACCTCACTCATCATACATTGTTTTAAATGACACTCACTCTTCGCCATAAATAACACAGCTTTTCCATAGGGTCAAATTACTGTAGGTCTCTGTACTGTAGGTCTCACTATGTATGTGCTCAACTTTCTTACTACGCGGCGGCGGTGTATAGCCGAATCACAGCCCCACCCTTGAGCAACCACACAAT